CGCTGCACCTATTCCCCCCCCCCCCGCCCCCACTTTGTGGAAATGAGCAGCCCTGACGTGTTGGTGCTCCTCACTTCCAACCCACAGCTGCCCACCCCCCAGCCCCCAGGGGGTGTGTGGGACAGGGGGATGCCCGACCATAAACGACACCGTAGGTGACACATCAGGGCAACAGGGGGAGGGGGGCGGACATGCCCCCAAGATTTGTGCGCCCACAGCAGGGCACAGGGCGCCTGGCAAGACTGGCATGGGGCAGAAATTGCCTCTGCAGCCCAATGGGCAGGACCCAGCCTGAGAAGGTGCAGCAATGCAGTAAGATTTGTTGTTGCAGCCACCACCAAGACCCCCACAACAGTCATATGGCCATGGAGTAGTGCCACACCAGCAGCAGCACAACTGATGGTGGACTTCAGCGTAGGAGGATGCATTGCCCTCACTTCCTCCTGCCATCAGCCATTCGTGTGCCAGGCTGCAGCTGTACCCTGGAGGGGAGGTAGGGAGGGTGGGGAGTGAGGGTGGCCTGAAGGGAGTGCTGGTGGCTGTTCCATGACAACAGGGTTGAGCTGTGGCATGGCACTCAAGTGACTGGCAGCCAGAGGAGGTGAGGCCAGGGCTCCCCCCCTTCCCCTTCCTCCTCACATTCCCCATTCCATGGCAGCATAGCTGGCACGGGGGTCCTGATGGTGGCAGCAGCAGCCACAGTGAGTCTCACCACTTGGATCCACCCTCCTGTGCTGGGTCCCACCCACTGGGCTACAGAGGCAGCTCCTGCCTGATGCCAATCTGGCCAGGCTGCAGCCCTGTGCCCGGTTGTGTATGTACACATTTGGAGTGGTAATGTCCCCTCATGCCTCCCTAAGGTGCTCAACCCCTCCCCAGGAGTGCACACAGTGGTGGGGAGCTATCCCTACCCCTGCTAGATGAGCTTCTTTGGCTCCATCCTCCTCCCTGGCTGGGCCTTGTGACTGCACATTCCCAGCCCAAGGTACTATGCCTTTCCCTGGCTGGGCAGTGCCCCCAGCCCCAGCTGCCAACTCTGCCCCACTCCCTCCCTTACTGTGGGGGCTTGGTGTGAGCCCCCACTGCCTCAGTCTGCCCTCTTCCTCCCCCCATAGATTTGCCTGTAAACAGCTAGAGGAGCTGCTCTTCATCACTGCCTGGCTGTATTGCTGGTCATGTGCACGTGTGCACACATGTGCACGTGACGCTTCGTGCATCCAGTCAGCCTCCTTCCATGCCCCAAGCAGCCCTTCTGCCAGCCTGCAAGGAGAAACGTGAGGTTTCCTGCGTTTAACGAGAAAATCCACGTTTTTCCACAACAAACAGAACACCCAGATCCCTAGTTATGGTGCGTGCAGATCATGGTTTAGAGGGGAAAGGGATCAGGGGGAGTGGCTTTATTTTAGTTCAGCTACATTTGTGAAACTACTTCCCATGAGAATACACTGCAGAACTTGAGATGGGTGGTAACGTTTTTCTCCTGCATTTCGTCTTTAAACTATTTGCCATAGTGACAGGATGCTTTTTAAACTGTACCATACCATAAAATAAGCCTGTGAATGCAGAACTTATAAGATCCAACCACTTTAGGAGTTGGTTCTAAGAAGCCCAAGACAGACAAGAAGCTAAATCTACACTAGTGCAATTCAACAGCCTTCTTCAGAGTATACTTTTCCTCCGGCTTCACTTAAACAGGCAAGGTCTTGTCCCCAGTGAATTGAACCCAGAGTGATAAATGCCAAAATAATTTAAATTTCATAGATTTCATGGACATTAGAGCTGGAAGGGACCTCGGAAGATCATTGAGTCCAGCCCCCTGCCCCAGGGGCAGGAAGTCAGCTGGGGTCAAAGGAACCCAGAAACATAAATGTCCAAATGTCTCTTAAAGGAGTCCAGAGTAGGTGCTTGCACCCCCTCTGGCGGCAGTCTGTTCCAGACCTTGGGGGCTCAGACAATGAAGAAGTTCTTCTTTACGTCCAGCCCGAAACGGTCTTTGAGGAGTTTGTGACCATTTGACCTTGTCATCCCTTGGGGCACTGTGGTGAACAGGCATTCCCCCAGATCATGATGCACACCCCTTATATACTTATAGGCAGCCTCCAGCCTGAGCCTGTGCTTTTCTAGGCTGAAGAGTCCCATGGCTCTCAGCCTCTCATTGTAAGGTGTGTTCTCTTGCCCTCTGATCATGCGCATGGCTCTCCTCTGTACTCTCTCAAGCTTCTCCACATCCTTTTTAAATTGTGGAGCCCAGAATTGGATGCAGTACTCCAGCTGCGGCCTCACCAAGGCCAAGTACAGTGTGAGGATGACATCCTGGGATTTGCTTTAGAAGCATCTATGGACGCAAGCCAGAGTTTTGCTCACTTTACCAGCTGCGACATCGCACTGGTGGCTCATATTCATCTTGTGGTCAATCATGATGGCCTTGGATCCACCACGATCTGCTGGCTGGGAAATTGGCTCTGTGGTAGGACCCAGAGGGTGGTAATTGACAGAAGTCAATCATCATGGTGCCCTATGACCAGTGGCGTCTACTGTGACCAGTGGCACTATGGACGAAAGAGACTTGGGGGTCATTGTTGACAACAAGATGAACCTGAGCCTTCAATGAGATGCTGCGGCTAGTAAAGCGAGCAAAATGCTGGTTTACATCCATACATGCTTCTCAAGCAAATCCCGGGATGTCATTCTCCCCTT